TTCAAGGATCACGTGTATGATCAAACACATCTATTGTTAGCCAAATAGCTTTAGTCTCAACTGCATCCTTATTTCTATCTGTAATACCATGTCAATCACTTCCTACGTCCTAGTCTCCTGTGTGCCAACCCACAAATGTCGTGGTTCTCCTTTTTTTTATTAGGCTTACTGAAGACATCTCCTCTTGGCTTCTGATTGTTCCTGTCTGGTCTCCTTCCTAGTTCTTTTCCTCAAATTATAGATATTTCCTTGATTCAGTCGTCTTTTTTTTGCTGATATTGCTGTTGCCTCGTGTGCTTCGAGTTTGTTTATGCAATATGCAAGGTTTTCGCTGATCCTGCCTTCTTCAAGTCTCCTGTTCATTCGACTTTTCTTGGTCAGTATTCCAATGGCCTCTCGGATCTTGCGTTTCCTCGTATTTTCACCACATGCAGTCAACCTTTCTGACGATTTCCAGTTGATTTCGTGCCCCTCTCGTGAAATGTGTTCCGCTATTTCGGATCTTTTCGTATCCATGTTCCTTCAGAGTCCTTGATGTTCCTTGAATCGCAGACCGAATTTTCTTCCTGTTTCACCGATATACTTCTGCTCACAGTTGCCGCATTTGATGCGATAAACTCCCGAGCAGTCAAGTTTATCTGTCTTCTCGTGTTGCGTCGGCAGACTGGTAAAACGTGTTTACTTCTCCTTTGTTATCACCTTGATATTCCATTGCCTTAGTAATGGTCGCAATTGTTGGATCAGTTCTGATGAGGGCAGGCAAATCCACTTTTGGTTGTCATCCTGATTCCTGATCTGATTTTCATAAAATCCAAATTGAAATCGGCCCTTTATAACCTCCACATTTTTTTCTATAAATTCTCAGGGGTATCCGTTAGTAATGCAAATCCGTATCAGTTTGTCTAACTCCTCGTCCCAGAACTAATCGTCAGTTAGTCGTAAGCTTCTGATGATCAAACTCATCAGTATTCCGATCTTCAGTCTGTAGTTATGATGGGATTATTCCCTCATAAATTCTTTCTGTATAGTCTCCTCATGAGTGTCGCTCTAGAGCGCATGACTACAATATCCAGAAAGGGTAGTCGTTCATTTTCCTCCACATGCATAGTGAATTTAATTCTTTCATTAAGTTCGTTAATGAAATTGAGGAATTCATTTAAATTTTCCTAACCATGTAACCAACGTGGAAAGTGGTCATCCATGTATCGCATAAGCACTCTTGGTTGCAATCGTGACTACTCGAATTCCCTTTCCAACTTGTCCATGTACAAATTTGCCTCAAGAGGGGAGAGTGGGGCTCCCATCGGTAGTCCAAATATTTGCTTGTAGATATTGCA